TTCTTGGCCTCCTATGTCCACGTCGTTGCCCTGGACAATATCTGAATGGGATGTACTGTTACCGCCGACAGCGCTACTCTCTTTGGCTGGAATTTTGGATTTTCACAGTTTTTTGGGATCGCAGGTTTACAGAGTCAAACTGAGCCTCTGCACTGTCGTGACGCCGCGGTAAGTGACATGCAGGGCGGCTGCCACCCTGCTGTGGGGACTTGCTGCTCCTTCCACCAGCTCTGCCTTTCCTTTACAGCCGGGTGGGGGGGGCCTCGTCCTTCCTGCCCTTCCAGGAGGGGCTGACCTGGGTGTGAGCCTGTGCGGCGCCCCCTGCTGCCAGGCCCGGAGACTGGTAATGTTCCAGACACAGAAGAGCATGTACCCCCGCCTTCTCGTGCAGCTCAGGGGTAGGTGCTCCCAGGACGCGATGTCAGCACCCCTCTTCTCGTCCTCGGGAAGCCCAGCCACACACCCCCGACTCAGGAAACCTTGTCCTAAAGTCCCCCACGAGGCACTGACATCGGGATCAGGGCAGATGGTAACCCAGGCTCCCCCTTCCCCTGTCCTGGCGGAAATGAGGGCGGGTCGATTTGTACCCAGAACCAGAAAATTCTCCCCAAAAGAGAAAAGAACCCGAAAACTCTGCATTCGTTACTGGGCTCGGGGTTGGCCTGTGGGGCTTGGGGAGGACCTGAAAGGAGACTAGAGGAGGAGCCTGGCAGGAGGAGCTGGGCCTCAGGGGGGTCAGGGCAGCCCCAGGTGCTGCCCTGCCCGTGCTCCGTGGACACTTTCAACCCTCTCCAGGGCAGAGGCGGTGGGTTCCTACCGGGGCTTCGTGTCCTGGGGCCAGGTTTGCTGTAAGGGAGCTGTGGCCCAGCAGGTGGCAAGTGTCCACCTGCACCACACAGGTGCCCTCTGCCTGTCGTGTGGCCCCAGCCTGTGCTGCCCAGCAATGAGCCACGCTGGCCTCAGGTGCCAGACTGGAGGCCTCCTGGCGGCTGTGGGGGGAGGGGCAGCCCCAGGCACAGCGCCCTGGCCCCTCCCCCAGGGGTGGGCGCTGGAGAAGGTGGGGGGGGTGTCCGCTCAGGCTGCCTAGTGCCCTGCTGGGAGCTGGTGGGCCCAGTCCTGCTGAGAAGCCCCCGTGTCCAGCCCGAGGCCCCAGGACCCGGAAGAGCCTGGGATCGGCCTCTTGACCAGACCACCGAGCTGTGTCTACTCGTCTTGAGAACGGGATGGGGACCCACCATGCCCGTCTGCTGAGGGTGGAGGAGTGGGAGTCACACACCCAGTCCTGGGGAGGGGCTTGGCCCAGCGACAGAGCCCTTGTGTGGGGTGTGTACTAAGACGCACGTGTACACCTGTGTGTGTGAGAGATTGTGTCTGCATGTGTGTGCTTGTGTGAGGGGAATTGTGTGTGTATGGCTTGTGTGTGGGGGATGGTGTGTGGATTTTGTGTGTGGGGGGGATTGTGTGTGGATTGTATGTGTGTGAGGGATTGTGTCTGTGGATTGTGTGCATGAGGGGGGATAGTGTGTGTGTGAAGGGAATGGTGTGTGAGAGGGGGATTGTGTGAGGGAAATTGTGTGTGTGTGAGGGGGATTGTGTGTATATGAAGGGAGATGGGGTGTGTGTGAGGGGAGATGATGTTTGTGGAGATGCTGTGTGGGTGGTTTGTTGTTCTGAGAGGATTGTGTGTTGTGAGGGGAAATGGTACTGTGGGGATTGTATACTGTGTGTGAGGGGATGGTGTGTGCCTGTAAAGGGGATTGTGTGTGCTGAGGGGGATGGTGGTGCTCGAGGGGGATGGTGTGTCTGTGAGGGGGACTGTATGTGTGGGGCTTGTGTATATGTGTGAGGGACATGTGTGTGTGTGAGGGGGATTGTCTGTGTGTGGGGATGTACTTGTGTGAGGGGGATGGTGTTGTGTGAGGGGGATGGTGTATGTTGGTGAAGGGGGATCGGTTGTGTGGTGTGAGGGGATGGGTGTGTGTGGGGATTGTGTATGTGTGTGAGGGCGCACTGGTTGTGTGTGTCGAGGAGGGATGGTGTGTGGTGAGGGGGATCATATGTGTGTGAGGGGGACGGTGTGTTGCTGAGGGGGATTGTGTGTGTAGGGGGAGGTTTCTGTGAGGGGGATTGTGTGTGTGGGGATTGTATATGTGTGTCTGTGAGGGGGATGGTGTGTGTGTGAGGGGATCATGTGTGTGGGGATTGTATATGTGTGTGAGAGGAATTGTGTGCATGTGAGGGGTGATGTATCGTCCTCTGAAGGGAGATTGTTGTGTTCCTTGGTTGTATACTTGCATGTGTGAGGGGATGGTGGTGTGCTGTTGAGGGGATTATGTGTGGGAGGATTATATGTGTGTAGGGGTTGTGTATGTGTGAGGGGGATGTGTGTCTGTGAGGGGGATTATGTGTGTGGTGATTGTGTGTGATGGGGATTATGTGTGTGAGGGTTGTGTGTGTGTGAGGGGAATTGTGTGTGTGTGGGATTGTGTAGGTGTGTGGGGACTGTGTGTGTATGGGTTGTGTGTGTTTGTGTGAGGGTGATTGTGTGTGTGTGAGAGAGAGTGTGTGTGTGTGTGTGAGAGAGAGTGTGTGTGTGTGTGTGAGCCGAGACGGGGCTCTGTGCTGGGGTGTGGCTCGTCCTGGGTCTTTCGTGGCCCACCTTGGAGCAGCACCCCCAGCGGAAGGGGACAGGTGTCAGGCTGGGCATGTGAGGGGTGTGCCTGGGGGAAGCTGGGGGTGTGGCCGAGGTCCTCATTAACCCCGCTCTGCCCGTCCCCCTGCCCTTGGTCGGTGGCTCCGAGGGATGGTAAGTGGGTTCCCTGCATGAGGAGAAGGGGCCGCCGGGCCAGCGGCAGGTGGACCCCACCTCCTGCACTGACAGCAGAACTGAGCCCACCTTGGAGGTGTGGCTGGTCACGATTTCGGCAGCCACCCAGGTGCTGACGTCGTCGGCGTTTCTTAACAGCTGTAACAGGTACTTGTCCTGGACGTAATTGGGCAGAAACAAGCTGCAGGTTTTGGCCGACAGAGACTCGGAAGAGCTGGATCTGGAAGAGAACTGTGCAGGTCACCCGGCTGCAGGGGCTCTCTGTGCAGGCAGCCGGGGTCTGGCTGGGAGCCCACTCCCGTGGGGTGAGTGAGACCCAGGCAGGTCCCTTCGGCCAAGAGTCCGTGAGACTCTCAGGGAGGCCCCCAAGACCCTCCTGCCACACCGCCCCCCAAACCGAGGGCCTGGGGCTGCAGCGGGGAAGCTCACTTGGGGAAGGCTGTGCTTTTGTCCATGACTCCCAGGGCCCGCGAGTTCAGGAAGTGGACGGGATGGCACTTCTGAAACAGTTCCTGCCCAAGACACGGAAACAGAGGTTCAGGCCCCTGTCCCCAGGGCCTCGTGGCCAAGGCCGGGGTCCAGGGAGGGCGGGGGTTTCTGGGGACGCTTTCTGCAATCTGGGGTTCAGCACCCACGCAGCAGCCCACAGGGCCTGGCCAGCCGGGCTCCTTGTGTGTGTGTCCTCCCAGGCGTGATGGGATTGCTGGGTCGCTATCACTCCTGTCACCTGCCCCGTGACGTGGGGCCCCAGGATGGCGGGGACCAAGGAGGGGCTGCCTGGGTTGTTTGGGTGGCAGCAGAGGGAGGAGTAGCACAGAGGCACAGGCCCCAGGGCTGCTGGGGGAGGGGGGAGACCCAGAGCCCGTGCGGCCCCAGGGCGCCCTCCAGTGCCCAGGAGAGGCTGGAGCGCCAGGGTGGAGGAGGGGCCAGGCCCAGTGGGCACCGTGGCTTGTGCTGGTGGAGGAGGCCCCTAGAGCCCGGGCCCCTTCTGGGTGGGCTCCCCACTGCAGGCAGGAGCTCCCCAGACCTGCGTACCCGGCACCCGGCCCGTTCCCTGACCATGGACCTGCTCCTCCAGGAAGCCCCGCGGTGGCCGTGCCCTGGCATGCCTCGGAGCGCGGGGCCCTGGACCTCCCTCACCTGCTGCAGCAGCGTGAGCTGGCTGAAGAGCTGGTGCGTGCTGTACTCCGTCAGGAAGTAGGGCCCCTTCTCGCTGGTCTTGGCGCAGGGGCCGTAGAAGTCCTCGAGGAAGCAGGGCTTGGGCAGCGCGGCGGCGATGGTGTACGGCCGCCCCTTGTGCTGGGGCAGCACCAGCCCGTTGCTCCGGGGCAGCCTCCAGGGGAAGCTCTGCAGGGCAGGCCGGTGCAGACAGGGGGCCTGAGCTCGGCCGTCCCCGCCAGTCTGGGGTTCCCGGGCAGGGACAGGGTGGGGACCAGGCCGGGTCCAAGCCCAGGACTCCTCGGACTGGCTCCACTACAGCCAGAGAGCGACACCTGCCCACCCACGGCTGTTGGCACAAGGACACTTGTGCTGGTCATTTCAGTGGCTCCCCACGGACAGAGCCGCTGAGCTTTGGGGCTGTCCTGTGTGTTAACGGAAAGGCCGGTCATCTCCCCACGGAGGTCTCCGCCACCCAGGTCTCAGGCCTGAGGGTCAGGAAGGTGGGGGGGGTGAGTTACACCCAGCAGGACCCTCATCTGAGCACAGGGGCCAGGGTGGGAAGTGCCAGAATGGGGACATAGAAAGTGCACGTATGCACTCGTGTATATGTGCGTGCACACAAGACACGCACAAATGTGCTTGTGTGTATGTACATGCATACAGTGTGCACTTGTGCACATGTGTGCACAGACACGTGCTTGTGTGCATGTACATGCACATGTATACATGCCTGCCTGCACATGCCTAAGTATGCAGTACGTACGTGCATGTACACACGTGCGTATGTTTGCCTTTGCACATGTGTATATGTGTGCGTGTGCATGCACATGCCGTGTCCTTGAGGCTGGGCTCAGGGAGCCACATCCACCTCCCCTGGGAAAGGTGCGCACCTTCCGGGAGATGCCGTCCTCTGAGAGCCGCTTACAGAAGGCGTTGAAGGGTCTGGCGTCCTCCTCAGCCTCTTTGGGGTCCTCCAGGTCTGCGCCTCGAGGGGTGCCTTCGGCCCGCCGGTCCGTGTGCACCTCCAGGAGGGCCAGCAGGTGCTCAGCAGAGCCGTCCAGGGGCAGGATCTGGCCAGAAGCACGGGGGGGGGGGTCACTGCCACCCCCAGGGCGAGGGCGGCACCTCCCACCGAGGGCGGCACCTCCCACCGAGGGAGCCCCACGTGTGGCGTCCACCTTGGAGGAGAGGAAGTCTTCCAGCCGGCCCAGCAGCCCCGCGTTCCTGGTGAAGTCCACGGCGTAGCAGTCCTCCACCCAGGCCTGCAGGACGCAGAGGCTCCGCTTGTAGATCTTGGTGAAGGTCGAGGAGGGGTCCTGCTGGGCCCTGGAGGCACACGGAGCAGCCTGAGGCGCCCGGGTGCAGGGGAGCGGGCAGAGGGCGGGGCAGCGAGCCGGCGCTCCCAGGGCAGGGTGGGAGCCAGTCTCCTTGTCCAGGAGCTGGGGGGCCTCCTGTGGGTCCCTTCCCAAGGCCGGGCTGGCCGGGGCGGGAGGGTGCACAGGGTGTCCCGGGGCTGAGGACAGGCCGGCTCGGAGAGGAGGCCAGGTGCCTCCACCCACGGCTGCCACCCTCTCCTGCACCGGCCGTGGGCGGGGGTGCCCTGCCCAGGGTGGCCGAGGGCCAGCTGGACCCCCCACCTTGGCCGGGCTCTTCCCTGCGTCCTCCTGGTCAGCCCCCGGTCCTGCACCCGCCAGCGCCTCTCTGCTTCCGCGGTGCCCCTGCCCCCAGCCTGACCTTTCCCACCAGGCTCTGCGGCCCCCGTCCGCGCTGGGCCTGGGCCTGCCTCGCCCTTCACGGCGGCCAGACGCCCCGCGGGGCAGGCGGAGCCCGGCTGTGTACCTGGACAGCGTGCTGCCGATGCGGTCCAGCAGGAAGTGCAGGAAGTCGTGCGGCGTGCAGAAGTAGCGGAAGGTGTAGAGGAACTGCTGCACGTAGCCCTCCAGGAAGGCGTCGCTGGGGGGGACGCGGCCTTAGTGCAGAGAGCACGCCTGCCGAGGAGGCCCTCCTCGATGGAAGTGCGTGCTCACGTGCACATGACACACGCCACATGCATCACACACGCCACCCCCACCACATACATCACATATGCCACCCCACCACATACATCAGGCGCATCACACACGCCACCCCCACCACATACATCAGGCGCATCACACGCCACACACATCATGCACATCACACACGCCACCCCACCACATACATCACGCATATCACACACATCACACACGCCACCCCACCACATACATAATGCACATCACACACGCCACCCCCACCACATACATCACGCACATCACACACGCCACCCCCACTACATACATCACATATGCCACCCCCACCACATACATCACGCACATCACAGATGCCACATACATCATGCACATCACACACGCCACCCCTACCACATATATCACACACATCACAGATGCCACATACATCATGCACATCACACACGCCATCCCCACCACATACATCACACATGCCACCCCCACCACACATACCACATACGTCACCCATGTCCTCACACATACATGCCACACACATCATATATGCCAAACACCCACAACTACACACACATACATGCCAACCTCCAACCACACATACATACTATGTACACCCACAACCACACACACCCCACAACCACATACTCCTCACCTACATTATACACAGCACACAAACACCACACACGCTGTACACACCCACAACCACACATTCACACACACCACACTCATCACATACGCCACATACCCACAACTACACACACACACCATACACGTCACAGCACAATCACTCACACTACACACATCATACATGCCATACCACACAACACATGCCACACAACACCCATGACCACACAGGCTACACACCGCAATGCCCACATGCACATCACACATGCATACTGCACACGCACAACCATACACCACACCACACAATGCCCCCAATATACCACACATACCACACATGTGTATACTTGTGCATATCACGCATGCACAATCATACACAACACACATGCACACACCCAGCACACAGACCACACACCCCACACTGCATGTGCATGCACCTGCACGCACAGTCACGCACACATACACGTCCCCGTAACAGCACAGAGACCTGACGGTGGCCGTGGGTCTTGCAGATGTGGGGGAGGCTGAGACCACGGCCTGCGAGTCAGCGTGTTTGCTGTGCGGGGTGGGCGTGTCAGCGTGCAGGGCCCAGGGATGCCGGGCCCACCGAGGCCTCTGTCCCCCACCCCGGGCCCTTCTCTGTTTTCCCGACCAGCTTCCCCGCCTGCCCCGGGGCCGCACCTGGAGTACAGGTAGGCCATGAGCCCCAGCGGCGTGCCCGCCTGCAGGACTCGTGCCTTGCGCTGCCGGCCACCGCCCGGGTGCTTGTTGACGTTGTAGAAGACGAGGGACGAGGACTCGTCCAGCGGGCTGAAGTCCAGTGTGTCGCAGGGGGCCGCCGCGATGTTCACGATCACCGGCAGGGCGCAGGGCTCCAGGCCCCAGCGCTCTGCGTACAGGACCTGGCGTGGGTGGACGCAGGGGCTCGTCACTCACTGCCCCGGGCTCCCTGCGGCCCAGACCCGCCCGTCCGCCCTGCCCGTCCGCCCTGCCCGTCCACGGGCCCCGGCCACTCGCCTGCAGGTACTTCTTGACCAGGCCCAGGAACTGCACCCTGGACTTGGTCTCCTCCAGCTGCGTCCTCAGCTTGCACAGCATGGTCTTGACCTCCGACCCTGCAGGGGGGGCACAGCATGGTCTTGACCTCGGAGCCTGGGGGGGGGCAGGGTCGGCACGCGGGGACGGCGCGCCTTGCCCTGGCCGCGCTGGCCCGAGGGTACCTTTGTTGCGCTTTTCCTTCTGCAGGAGCTTCTGGTAGAACTTGAGGGTCTTGCGGTAGTTCCTCTGCTCCATCACCAGCTGCTGCTCCAGCTCCTGGTGAGGGGGCAGCGAGGCTCAGCCAGGGGCAGCGAGGCTCAGCCAGGGGCAGCGAGGCTGCACCGCGGTGGGGACACGCACCATGATGGGTACACGCACTGCAGTGAGGACATGCACCACGATGGGGACACGCACCACAGTGGGGACACGCACCACGATGGGGACACGCACCACAGTGAGGACATGCACCACGATGGGGCCATGCACCACGATGGGGCCACGCACCACAGTGAGGACACGCACCACAGTGGGGACACGCACCACAGTGGGGCCACGCACCACAGTGAGGACATGCACCATGATGGGGCCATGCACCACGATGGGGACACACACCACAGTGAGGACACGCACCACTGTGGGGACACGCACCGCAGTGGGGACACGCACCGCAGTGGGCACACGCACCGCAGTGGGGACACGCACCACGATGGGGACACGCACCACAGTGGGGACACGCACCACAGTGGGGACACGCACCACAGTGAGAACATGCACCGCAGTGGGGACACACACTGCAGTGAGGACACGCACCATGATAGGGACACACACTGCAACTTGGGACACACACAGCGATGGGAACATGCACCGCAATGGGGACACGCACCACAGTGGGGACATGCATGGCAATGGGAACACGCACAGCAACTCAGGACATGCATGGCAATGGGGACACGCATGGCAATGGGGACACGCACGGCGATGGAGACACGCGTGGCAACTCAGGATACTCATGGCAATAGGGACACGCACTGTGATGGGGACACGCACTGCCACTCGGGACACGCGTTGCAATGGGGACATGCACTGCCACTCGGGACACGCGTTGCAATGGGGACACGCATGGCGATGGGGACACGCGTTGCAATGGGGACACGCACTGCCACTCAGGACACGCACGGCGATGGGGACACACACTGCCACTCGGGACACACGTTGCAATGAGGACCCCCAGCGCTCAGCCCCTCTTCCCCCCCCAGCACAGCCTCCAGGGGAGACACGCGTTGCAATGGGGACACGCACTGCCACTCAGGACACGCACGGCGATGGGGACACGCACGGCGATGGGGACGCGTTGCGATGGGGACACGCACGGCGATGGGGACACACACTGCCACTCGGGACACGCGTTGCAATGAGGACCCCCCCAGCACAGCCTCCAGGGGAGACACGCACACTTGGCGGGCTGCGGCCACCGGCCCGGGCATCTGAGGTCCGGAGGCCCCTCCTTGGTCCCCGGCCCGCAGGGCAGAGCCTGGGGGACGGGCTGCCTGCACCCTCAGCCAGAGTCGGCCCCCGGGGACAGTCGGGGAGCAGCCCTCGCCGTCCCTCGGCCCGGGCAAGGCCGTGAACCCGTCACTCCGACCACGCGCCAGCTCTGCGCCCCCCCAACCCCCCGACATGGGGTCTCCTGCAGGCGAGCCCAGCCCAGGACAGCCCAGCACAGGAGGGGCCCGGACCACTGCGGGGAGAGCTGGGGGCACCGTCTGTCCCCGGGGGAAAACGGCCCCCCGCCTGAAGGCCGGCCCCCCCCGAGTTCGCCCCGGCGGGCAGCTGGACTCACCGGGGCCTGGGCGTCCGGCTGCGCGCTCCCGCCGGCCGCCTGCCGCCCCAGCGCCTTCACGTAGCTGTGCACGTCCGCCCCGAAGCAGTCCGCCTCGTAGAAGGCGCTGGACCAGCCGGGGTTGCAGCTCTGCAGCCCTGCCGGGCCGGGGGGCGCCGCCGGGCCGCCCTCCCCGGGCCTGGCCTCCGCGTCCCCGGCTCCCCACGCCGGCCGGCCGTCCTCGGGCTGCCGCTCCCGCTCCGCCCGCGTGGACTTCTGGGGCCGGAAGCCCACCTCGAAGTTGCCCTGGGAGAGCTCGTCGGCGTCGGCGTCCGGCAGGGAGGGCGCCAGGCTGGGGGCTCTGCTGGTCCTGCCCGCGGCCGGCAGGGAGGGGGCCAGGCTGGGGGCTCTGCTGGTCCTGCCCGCGGCCGGCTTGTCCTTCCCTGCGGAGGAAGGGGGCAGGTCACGCGCAGCGCCCGGGAGGGTCGCGTGGGGATCTGGGAGGGTGACCTGCCCCCGGAGGGGCCCTGGCGGGCAGAGCGCGCCGCTGGGCTCTCCGTCTGTTCCAACTCTGCGTGCGCTCAGAGTCCCGCCCTGCTCTCCCCGGGCCCCGGCCCCGCAGCCCGCTGGCCCCCAAACGAATCTGCGTGTTTTCACATGCAAACCCGCCCGCGGCAGCCCGGGCTCTCCTAATGCCGGACGCTCCCACCTGAGCCGGGCAGGCAGCTCTCCTGGGCGTCCCTGGTCACCCAGGAGTGTGTGGACGCCGCGCCCGGCGTGCTGACCACTTCTCTCTCTTTTTTTTTTTTTCGAGACAGAGTCTCACTCTGTTGCCCAGCTAGAGTGCTGTGGCGTCAGCCTAGCTCACAGCAACCTCAAACTCCTGGGCTCAAGCGATCCTCCTGCCTCAGCCTCCTGAGTAGCTGGGACTACAGGCATGCGCCACCATGCCCGGCTACTTTTTTCTATGTATGTTTTTAGTTGTCCAGATAATTTCTTTCTATTTTTAGTAGAGACAGGGTCTCCCTCTTGCTCAGGCTGGTCTCGAACTCCTGACCTCGAGCAATCCTCCCGCCTCGGCCTCCCAGAGTGCTAAGATTACAGGTGTGAGCCACCGCGCCCGGCCCTGACTGCTTCTCTGATTCGCCAGGACTGGCCCGAGCCCATGACAGAGGCTCTGGTCACTGGCCGGGCGCAGGCCCAAGGGCAGACCCCAGGGTGACTGCAGCCACACCCTGTCCTGGGAGACCCAAGGCCCCGCCCCTGCCTGGTCCCGCCTGCTGGTGGGGAGGGCAGGAGCCCCCCACAGCCTCAGCCCTGCCCACTGTGGGGAGGAAACTTCCCTTCTCGGGACAGGCCCTGGGGTCCCGGATGTCCTTCCCCGGTGCCCGCGGGGCGAGGCCTCAGCTCTTACCTGGTCCCGGCAGCGTGGGCCTCTGGCCAGACAGCGAGCACCCGCTCAGCCTGCGCTCGGGCCGCGGCCCGGCCTCCTCGGAAGCGCTGCGGAGAGAACGCGGAACACGGGTCAGACGCCCCCGCCCGCTGGGAACCGGCCTCAGTCTCTGCAGTGACCTCGTCCCGGGGCTGGCGTGGACCACTCCCGTGTACAAGCAGGACTTAGCAGGGCCACGCGGCCACACAGAACCCACGGCTGGGGCGACGGGGGGTCACGAACTTGCCCCTCTGGGCCACTAAGGGCCACGGCACATGCAGGTCCTCGGGGTCCGGAGACGGAATCGGGGACAGTCTGGGGCTGCCCTTCCCAGCACCACAGACACGCGTGTTTGGGGTCGGGGAGGCGCAGGCTGGCGTGGGGCTGGGAACAAGGTCAGGGCCCCCCCCACCCCGCTCCTGACAGTGAATACTGTCCCCCTGCTTAGTCCCTCAGCACAGGGCGTGGGGGGCTCTGGGCACGGCCTCGTCCAGGGTCCCCCCACCTGACCTCCCCCCTACTCGACCTCCCCCCGATCCGACCTCCTCCCTACCAGACCAACCCCCTCCCTGACCTCCCCACGCTTCCTACCGACCTCCCCTCCCTGACTCCTCCACGTGCCCACTGCTCCCACTCACCTCCCCTCCCTCCCTACTCGACTCCCCCACCTGTCGCCCCACACAGAATCCTCCTACCCACTCACCCTACTCACCTCCCCACCTGACCTCCTCCTACTCGATTCCCACACTCGACTCCTCCCGACCTCCCCACTGATCCTCCACCAATTCTCCCCACCGACTCTCCTACCCACTCCACCCACGCTCCCGACTTGCTCCCCCAGCGCCTCCTTCTACTCTCCCTATTTGCTCCCCCTGCTCCCCCCCACCTGACCTTCCCCCCACCCGACCCCCCCACCCGACCTCCCCCCTACTCCAGGGTGGCGCGTCCCACGGAGGGCCAGGCCGTGGCGTGGTCTGTGGCTTCCTCTCCCGCCTGCGCCCCGTGACTGTCACCCTGTGGGCAGTTCCCATCCCCCGCCCCCTCCGAGGCCGGGCCGTGCCGCCCTGACTGCACAGTGCCGGTCCGGCCTCGCTGCGGGGCCTCCCTGCGGCTCTCACCTGCCCGAGGGCGAGGCCGGCCCGTTGACCACGCTGAAGAGGCTCCGCAGCAGCTTCTCGTCCCAGTAGAGGTCGCAGAACTTCTCGGAGACGGCGCCGCAGAAGGTGGCGAAGGAGAGGTCTTTCAAGGCGAGGATGTGTTCCCCTGGGCGGCGGGACACGGTGACGGGACACGGTCAGGGGGGCTGGGCTGGGGGTCGGCCCCTCGCGCCGGCCACTCCCTGGGGGCCTGCGACCCTGCGCCCGCGCCCCTGCCCGCACCCATGATCAGGGCCTCCAGCCCGTTGTCCAGGTAGCCGTCCACAGCAAACTCCTCCTGGATGAGGCGCGTGGCCTCCCGCAGTGACGGGCAGGCGGTCCCCTGCGCGGGCGGCGAGGCGTCCACGCCGGGCGGGCAGAGCTTGTGGTCTGCTGGCTGGGGCCTCTCGGGGACGCCGTCCCCCCGCTCTGCCACGGGGGAGCCCCCGGCGCTGTCTGCGCGCCCCCCGGCCAGGGCAGGGCCCGGGGAGGCCGGTTGGGGGCCGTCCGGCTCCTGGCCCGGGGGGTCGGTGGCCTTGCTCCGCGGTGGCTTCGTGGGGGGAATGGCTCCTGGTGGGACCTGCCCATCCGTCCCTGGCTGCGGGGGCGGCACCGATGGCTTCAGGGCCAGGGTGGGGGCAGCGGAGCCAGGAGTCACCGGTGACGCCCCCTCCAGCTGGTTCTCGGGGGCCGGGGGCTGGGGGTGCCCCTGGGCCCAGTCCGGAAGCACCGGCTCCGAGAGAGGTTCTGGGGCTGCTCCCCGGGGCCCGACGGGACCAGGCACCTCCAGGCTGTCTCCGGTGGGGGTCTGGGGGGGGTGCTTCTGCTCTCTGCCTCCCTCCTCCGGCTGGCCATTCCCCTCCTCCCCGCTCTCCGCCAGCCCTGGGCTCGAGACAAGCTGGTCCCTGCGCGGGGAGCAGAGAGCTTAGCAGGGAGCCCCAAACTCGGGCACCCCCCTGCTCCGGGAGACTTACCTGGTGAGGCTTGTATCCTGCGGGAGGACAATGGGCCTGAGGTGAGTGGCCACGGAGGAGAAGGCGGCTGGCAGCTGGGGGGCTCCTTGGCAGCCAGGGGGCTGGCTGGGCACGGGCCCCGGCATGGCCACAAGTCCGGCATCACTGCTGACCGGCACAAAATCTGGGGACGGGTGGTGGATGTGGGGGTGCTGGGAGCCCAGGGCCCATCGGCTGCTCTTTCCTGCCCCGTGGGGCCATCCGCACCCTCCCCTGGCCCCCGAGGGCCCCTCAGAGCCAGGCCTGGGGCTGGGGGTGGGAGTGGCTAGAGCTTGGGGGAGGGCTGGGGCTCAGGGCCAGGCCAGAGAGGCCAGGCACGGCGTTGGGGTGGAGGCGCTGAGACCTGGGGGGCTCCAAGTGGCAGGAGGAGAACTGGGGGTCTCGGAGCGTGGGCTCGGGAGGGTCTGGGGTGGGGGCTGGGGCAGAGCAGCTGTGAGCCGGGGAGTTTCGGGAGAGGCCGAGAGCTGGGCACGCCGCCCCGGGTTCCCGGAGCCGTGGGTGCTGTGTGTCCACTCAGGGTGGGGTGGCCGGGGTGTGGGGTGGGGGCCCACCTGGGCCGGGGTCTGGAGCAGGCGCCACCGTGCCGGGCTTCAGCTCAACCACCGAGGACGCCGTCTGGAGACCGACGCTCTGCTCCTCCGGGCAGACCTGGGCGGAAGGACACAGGGCCCGGCCCAGGTGCCACAGAGGCCTAGACGGGGGTGGGGTGGGGTGGACCCCACTGTGCTGGCGCCACCTGCGGCACGGGGGTTGGGGGACGAGCACTGGGGCCGCGGAGGACGCATACCTCGCAGGTGGACGCCCGCAGGTGGGCCAGGACCTTCCTGCTGTCCATGCCCCGCTGGAGCAGGTAAGCACTGCACACCTGAGAGCAGGGAGAACGTCGGTCCACGCGTCCGACAGCTGAGCTGCGGCCCTGCCCGGCCCCACTCCGAGGAGCTCCCGTCTGAGAAGGCCCCGGCCCCGCGGTGCTCACTGCTCGCTCCAGCGACAGGCCACGGCCGCCCTTCCGGACGCTCACCAGAAAGGGCCGGCAGCCACGTGGCGCCCACGGCCGCCCCCCAGGGATGCTGGCTGGACCCCTGGGTCCCTCCCCCCAGCCCGTGCCCCTCCCCCCCAGCCCGGGCCTCCTCCCCCCAGCCCCGGCCCCCTCCCCCCAGCCTGGGCCCCCTCCCCCCCAGCCCGGGCCCCCTCCCTCCAGCCCGGCCCCCTCCCGAAGCCCCACACCCTGAGAGGGGCGGCGGGGCCCCGTGTGACTCCTGGGAGCACCTGCTCCCACCACTTTGAGACTTGGTCTTGTCCTCACGTGACCATCAAGGCCACAGACCCAGGTGCCCCCAGCCACCCCCTGCCTGTCTGCATGTGGCTCCTCCTTCCAGAAGGTGTGGTGGCCTCACAGCCGCGGGGACCCTGCTCCGTCACCCACTCTTTGCTGGTGGGGCGGGCGAGGACCCTCTCGGGAGGGGTTAGGGCCCACCCACCCCGAGGTCCGAGTCCCAGCGGTGGGACCAGGTGGGGAGGGGTGAGGCCAGCAGGACCCACAGAGGAGGTGGCCTGAGCTGCAGGCTGGGGGGACGCCCTTGCCCGCTCTCTGGTCGCTGGACCCCGTGGAGAGAGGGGGTGTTGGAGAGAGCGGGGTGTTGGAGAGAGGGGGGTGTTGGAGAGAGGGGGTGTTGGAGAGAGCAGGGTGTTGGAGAGGGGGGTGTTGGAGAGAGGGGGGTGTTGGAGAGAGCGGGGTGTTGGAGAGAGGGGGGTGTTGGAGAGAGGGGGGTGTTGGAGAGAGCGGGGTGTTGGAGAGAGGGGGTGTTGGAGAGAGGGGGTGTTGGAGAGAGAGGGGTGTTGGAGAGAGCGGGTGTGGAGAGAGTGGGGTGCCTGGAGGAGCAGCCGTGGAGCAGCAGGGACCACACTGCCGGCCCACGTGGATGGGCCGTGGCTGAGACACACCCACTCCTAGAAAGGACCGGAAGGCTGCCTCCCGGCCCCTGCGTGTCCAGCCGGCGGCTGGCCTCCTCCCGAGGCCCGTGGACTGTGAGCTGGGACCAGGGCCGCCAAGCGGTTACCTTGACAGCCTCGGCTGCCGACGGCCGCTCCAGGGCGCTGCGCCGGGCCATGTCCAGGAGGAGGGTCTTGAGCCTGCGCGGCAGGGCCAGCTTGCGGTCGCGGGGGACGCCGAACTTGGCTGCGGTCCACAGGACGGCGGCCACACAGTACACGGAGGCCTGGGCGGCAGCAGAGAGAGCAGAGGTGGCTGCTGCACCCTGTAGACCTGGACCCCCCAGGGGACACCGAGGCACAGCCCTGCAGGGGGGCTCTTCTTGCAATGCTGGGGGTCGTGGCCCTGAGCCTGGTGGCCCCACCCACCCTCACTTCAGAGCCAGGGGTGGGAATCTGCGTTTAATAAGCAGCCCCCTCCCCCAACCCCCTTTTGGGTTTTAAGCACTCAGGTGTGACGGCCTGACTGGGCCTCCCGGGAGTCGCTCCCAACCAGTGCTGTGCCGCTAAGTGGCCAACTCTAGGCTCTCTGGGCAAACACACAAACAACTGTGGACAGACGTGAGCTTCTCTCTTTTTTTTTTGAGACAGAGTCTCACTCTGTTGCCCAGCTAGAGTGTCATGGAGTCAGCCCAGCTCACAGCAACCTCCAACTCCTGGGCTCAAGCGATCCTCCTGCCTCAGCCTCCCGAGCAGCTGGGACTACAGGTGTGCACCACCACGCCTGGCTGATTTTTTTCTATGTATGTTTTTAGTTGTCCAGATAATTTCTTTCTATTTTTAGTAGAGACAGGGTCTCGCTCTTGCTCAGGCTGGTCTCGAACTCCCGACCTCGAGCAATCCTCCTGCCTCGGCCTCCCAGAGTGCTGGGATTACAGGCGTGAGCCGCCGCGCCCGGCCCCTACCTTAGCTTTGAGTACAATTCATCCAATTGCAAGCGCAGTTTGTATGATGCAGTGTTTAAGGAGTGCGGCACGGACACTGCTGAGGGCTCGGCCCTGGGTCAGAGAGCCAGGAGGGCAGCTCCCGCACACCCGGCCAGCGCTGCCCTCGGGCTGGCACAGGGCCGGGGCCCGGTTACCTTCTCGGTCACCAGCCGTTGCTCTGCCAGCTCGGGAGCCAGGAAGAAGGAGTCGCAGGAGCCTGCGGGAGAAGAGCCTGCTTAGCCTCCCCATCCCAGCTGCTGCTGGTCCCGGCCCTTGGGGGGGCCCCCGCCCCCCCATACCCACCGTCGGCAGGGGGCGGCCTGAGGAGCACGGCGCCATCCTGGGCGAGCAGCACGGAGTCCAGGCGCAGGAAGGCTGCGACAGAGCTGCGGTCAGCGGCGGGCACAGGCGTGGCCCCGCTCTCTGGGCCCGCAGGGACTCGGCCGGGCGAGGCGGCCCGGCCACACGGGCACGCGGCCCTGGGCAGTGCCGGCCAGCACCAGCATGGCGGCTGTGCCCTGGGGGTCACGGGTCCCTCCTGAGGCCGCCCCAGGGCTGTGGGTGCACAGCGTGGGGACGCCAGGCTCGGGTGGCCGTGGACCTCTGATGCCCCCAGCCCCCTGGACTCGGTCCTCGCCCGCCCCCAGGCAGGGCAAAAATGCCACCGAAGTCCCGCCCACCTGTCCCGCTGTCCGGCAGGTCGGGCTTTGGGGGGACACAGCCCAGCGCGGGGAGATTCCCTCCCTGGGGACAGCGTGGCCCCGTTGGGGAGGTGTGGCCCCCGTTTCTATCACAGCCTGGCTGGGAGGCCAACCCGTGAGCACCCGCCCCCCAGCCCCCAGGGCCCGCGGGTGGGGGAGGGCCTCACCTGGGTGCTGGGGGAGGGTCCGCAGCGCGCCCAGGCAGGCCAGGCAGAGGGCCCACAGCTCGTACTCCCGCAGGGGCCGGCCCAGCCGGGACAGGACGTCCTGCAGGGGCGCCGGCTGCGGGGAGAGGGGCGTCGTCAGGGGCGAGAGCCACCCAGCCGCGCGGACGCCGAGACAAGCCTGGCGAGGGCGCGGGCCGGAGCCCTGCGCACTGCTGGCGGGATGACGGTCCCAGGTGCCCGCGGCTGAGGACGGAGCGTGCAGTGACCCTGTGACCCGGCGGTCCTGCCACTGCACGAGGGCCCAGGGAAGGGAGCGGAGGCACACGCACAGGCATGTCCCCGCAGCACCGGCCAGTCCCAGGGCCGGTGGGGACGCAGCCCATGTCCACTGTCCCGCAGGGTGGGACATCGTCCAGCCCCAGAGCGGAAGGAGATTCCGGCACTTTCTGCGGCGTGGAGGACCCTGAGGACGCCGTGCTCATGGCCGGGCCGGTCCCCACAGGGCAGCACGGTGGCTGCTGGGCGGGCGTCAGACTCACAGGGACGGGGAGTGGAGGGAGGTGCGGGGGCTGGGGAGGTGCGGGAGCAGTGTCTGGCGTGGGGCGGACGACACAGTGTCCCAGAGACGGGTGAACACGCGTGACGCTCTGTGCACTTAAAGCAGGTAAAACGGTAGGTTTCATGTTACGTGGTTTTTTTTTTTGAGACAGTCTTGCTTTGTTGCCCAGGCTAGAGTGAGTGCCATGACGTCAGCCTAGCTCACAGCAACCTCAAACTCCTGGGCTCAAGCAATCCTCCTGCCTCAGCCTCCGGAGTAGCTGGGACTACAGGCATGCGCCACCATGCCCGGCTAATTTTTTGTATATATATTAGTTGGCCAATTAATTTCTTTCTATTTTTAGTAGAGATGGGGTCTCGCTCTTGCTCAGGCTGGTCTCGAAATCCTGAACTCGAGTGATCCTCCCACCTCGGCCTCCCAGAGTGTTGGGATTACAGGCATGAGCCTCCACGCCCCGCCAGCCTCAACTGCTTTTTCTGCTCAGAAGTTGTATTTGAGTAAGATAAAAAGCTTTGCAGAGGGGAAACTGAGTCTCCCCCCCAAGCCCCACCCCCCAGAGGGCGCTCGGCACACGCCATCTCCACACTGACAGAGACGCTCCAGGCCTCCCGCCTGGACACGGCACACATGCAAACGCCGCATGCACACGCAGCCGAGGACCTGGTGCTTCTCCGTGTGAGCCGCCTCGGCCCCGGGCGCCAGCTCTTCACAGCACAAGTCCCTCCGGGGACCAGACTGACCTTCGAGGAGCCCGGCCTGACACCCCACGTGGGCGCTCTCCGCACCTGCCCTGCGTCCTGGGTTCCCTGCCGTCCGGTCCCCCATCCCTCCTGGTGGCACCAGCCCCTGCCCGGCACCACCTGCCAGCTCCTCGCCGCTTGGCTTGCGCCTGGCCGGCCACAGTCTCTGCCCCGCACCTCGGCCAGCGCTGCCGGCCCCTGTGGTCTCCAGTGCCCCCAGGGGGCTGCCACCTGCCCGCGCCCCTGAGGATCCTTAAAGACTCGTGGGGGGCCTGGGCCGGGCTGCGTCTCCCTGGGGGACCCCCGACACTGTGTGGCGCAATTCTGGGGAGTGGGTGAGGGGTCCCGGGTCACCTCCCGGCACAGCTGGTGACCCAGCGAGATGCCAGTGTCGGGCCGGTCTGGCTGTTAAGAGCAGCAGCTCGAGCACATTCTGGGGGTCCGGCCGGCAGGGAGAGCCCCTCTCGGAGCCAGGGTGTCCACACCCAGAGCAGCAGGACGCGGCTGGACGGAGCAGGAGCTGGACAAGGGGGTGGGCGGCCCCCGGGCGGTGGGGGTGCTGGGACGCCTGGCTGGGCTTGCCTGGCAGAGGGGCAGGGGTGGAGGGAGGCCGGCCAGGGCGCCGCATGCTCAGGAG